TTTTTTTTTTTTTTTTTTTTTTTCTCTTTCGACCTCTTGGATACAAAAACACATGGATAATGGTTTTGCCGGTGACTGCGATTTAATCGTGCATAATTGATATTCAACGTTTAACTCGATTAACATTGATATAAATTATAGTAGTTTGCATTAATGCAAATTGATATAATTTCAGAAATATTGTAATTAACTTGTTTTTTTTTTTAAATCTAATTTCTACTTTCTTTGTGATTCTTAATACACTTGTATATCCTTTTGATTTGAATTGTAAATAATATCGTTGGAATGTAAAATTAATTTAATTATAATAATTTTAGAAAGGAATTTTTTTACCTTTTTACGGAAAAACAATAAATATTGAAAAAATTTTCATTTATTTTAGATTAAACAATAGCAAAGTGCTATTGTAATCTTTGTTGAATATAAAAATATTTAATTCATTATATATTTCATTCGAAATGTGCATTCTATAGTTATAAATGTATATTTATGAATCAGTATTTCGTTATAAAAAAAATGTATCAATTCGTTATTCCCCTTTTGATTTGACTTTTAATCAAATAATCGACAAACGTGAAATTGCAACATGTCAACATTTAAATCGCAAACACTCAGCGTGGCGCGTTACAGAGCACCATAAATTGTATTTTAATCGCCATTATTTACTACTTTATTGCTATTTTATACACACAATACTCGTTGAAAATATTTCTCTAAAAGAAGCATAAAAAAAAAGAAAAAAAGAAATTAAATCAATCGATAAAATAATACTTTTAGCTCTACGTAATTAATAAATTCTTATCTATTAATTCTAATTTCACTGATGAAACTATATCGTTATTATTATTTATTTATACATTTATATCTTCTCGTTCATTAAATCTTAAAGAGCAGAAGAAACATTTCTAAAACTTTATTTTCATATCTTAAATGTTCAACGATATTAACAATCTGTGTAACTGTATTTGTAAAGCCACGTGAATCGATGTAATAATCGTAAATGTCATTACGTCTATTGAAAGCACATTGAGAATAGCGATTAATAACAGCGACAGCCACAGAAGCTATAATGTTTCTAATATATCTAGTTACTTTGATCGCAAAACTTGTTTCCAATATAATCGATATCAAAAATTGTACTTTCTTTTGTAATAAAAAAAAATCATATCACGATTATTAAACATGATATGTGTAATATAATATATAAATAAACTTCTCAATATTTTGATACTTACATTACAATTTTTATAAATAATATATCTATAATTATTTCTATCAATTTCGCTAATTGTAAATGTAAAAATATGAACAATTTATAAATATGTACTTGATACTTCTTATAAATATTTTGACACTTGTTAATTTCCAGTTTATGGCATCGATAAATCAACAACAATTCGTGTCGTTCTGATATGTTGGTGTATAAAATAAATCTCCTATTCCTAAAATTAATAATTTCTATGTCTATCTTTTTCGAATAAAAATATCTTCTTGAAGAATTTTCGATAGAAATTTTTTACGGATTTAAAAAAAAAAAAAATAATAAAATAAAATAAAAATATTCTACGAATTTTAGTAAACTCGACTATTCATTACCTATTGTTAATGTTTTTTTTTAAAACTCGTTCGACTAATTTGAAATCTCGGATGTTTCGCGCGTAACAAACGAAACAACCAACAAACATCGAATCCCGTCTAAATATTTGCTCGAAGTAACCTCCGCGAACTTTCGAATCGTGGTATTTCAAATTTCGCGGATTATTTATCGTGAGAGGCTGAGAGTGCGAGAAACTGGAAGACAGCTGTGGTAAATAGTTATACAAAGGACACGTATAACGTTTACGTATATAGAAGAGAGAAAATAAAACAAAAAAAGAAAAACAATATTTTCGATAAGAAATAACAATCTAGCAGGATTTTTTTATAAAAAAGATTTTCGAGTAAAAAAAAAAAAGAATGAGAAAACAAGAAAGAAACGCAAGATAGACCCGTGACAGAAACAAGTTCGAGTGTTAAAAACACGAATGGGGGATTGTTGTTCTATCCAACAGATCGAACATCGCATGCTTCGAAGGAAAGAAAACACGTATATGTGTATATAATATATTATAAAATTCGAGAGTGGTACAGATAGTAATAAATATTTTTATACACGCGTATATCAATGAATGAGTACTAAGTATCATGCAAAAGATTTGTTTCTAATCAACGATATACAATATATAGATATTATTTTATAGTATGGTCAAAAGTCAAGTACGAGTAATGAAAATTATCTTATATTGCTTTATCTTATAATTCTTCCCCTTCTTGTTTTTATCCCGTTTCGTTATTATAAGATAATAAACATTATCATATACAATTATAAATTTACATATCATTAATTACACCATTCATTACATTTATATATCATACACAATTTTAAATAAATTTTGTAAGAATTTGGATAAATATATTTTTCTAATTAAAATTATATATATAAAAGATTAGACGTATATAAATAGATAACACACATCTTATATATATGAGACACGTGTACGTGTAAATTACTGTTTAAAAAGAAACATAGGAAAGAGAATACGACAGTAGTGTGAACAAAGAAATTTCTATTTTTGAACAGAAAAAACGTGTAATCTATTCTATCTGGATATATATATATATGTTATCCTGATTAAAATGTAACGTTGCTACGAGTATCATCGTTATTGTGTACTAACAATGAGTACAATGTGATCTTTGCATGACAGTGTTCTTTTCTTTAAATGGTGCATCAAGTATTGACACTATGACATTTTATAGGAACTCGATAAAACGTGTGCTCGATGTATCGTGAAGATTGATCGACCATGAAATTCATAACACTCTAATTGAGCCATTATTTGTTATCTGAGTGTAATATACTAATATCATCAATAGAACGTAACAATAATTTAAAATTGAAATATATTCACGGTTTGAATTTTGTAAGATCTTTTAAAAAATAAATAAATAAAATCGAATCATTATCTTCGTTTTATAATAATTTTGTTTTCTTATTATTTTTTTTTCACTTTTTATAAGAAAATACATACAAAAAGATATCCTGTTCTCGCTATTTTAAAGTTCGCAACTAATTTTTTCCCTTACGACTCTTCGTTTCCTTTTTCTTTTTTTTTTTTTGTTTTTACGTTATACACATATACGATCGATCGTCTAATAATAAAATTTCGAATAGATCGGCACAATATCGATAATTCAAGATATAATATGTGTATATATATATATGTTTATATATATATATAGACATATTTACAATACACGTATACGTGAACATAATTTCATTCCACTACTTCCGTCTATTATCCGGTCACGTGTTACACATCCTCTAATCGATATTTGAAACGTATATTTTGTACAATATAGACACTTACGGCAGGAATACTCACGCGCCAGGGCTTCTTTTCGACGTACTTGTACACCGATGATGGCCTCCATGGGAACTTCCGTACGTGGAATGCTGACTGCATGTGGTGGTAAGTAAATTGGTTCCAAGTTCCCAAAGGTGCATTCTTGCGGGATATTTTTATAACAGTAAGAGTGCAACTGTAAGCAAAAAGTTATGAGGTAAGAACACATTGAAATTTATAATATATAATATATAAAATAATCAATTTTTACAATAAAATATCGTTAAAAAATATTTCGTTTCAATGATAAAAATTTGCATATTTATTTATCGTTCCATTTATCGATCTTCTTTTCTCTGATAGTCACAAGACAACCACATTTTTTAATACACAAACAATAATACCCATCCTTGTAAACAAATATGTATTTCATATAGAAACTTTGCGCTCATTATTTTAACAGAAGCACTTCGAACAAGTTCGCTCGATTTCGGAACAATCGACGTTATTTTTAATTAAAACAATTAAGCAATCGTTCAACGATTTCCAAACGATTTCAACTTTTTCATCTCCGCTTCGAAAGGAGGAATAACTACGTTAATTTCTAACTTCAGAAATAAAAGAAATATGCACACATATATATTATTCTTATTTATATAGAAATATAAGATTCGTTTTATAGAAACTTTTAAATTGATGGAGGCTCGAAATGACAAAAAAAAGAAAAAAAAACGGAAGTTTAGAAAAGAGGAGGGAAAACATTTACCGTCATGCCGCACCACTCGCAACGAAACCCGGAAAGGCACTCGGCAGAAAAACAATTTTTCTTGCAGACAGCGCATTTCGAACTGCTGGGAAGATTGCCTTCTCGCCAGTGATGAGTGTGGTTTACCTGCGCCAAGTCCTTCCCAGGTAAATACGTGGCGTTCTCCTTGCAATCTGCCACGGCAAAATCCTGGCACTCCGTGTGCGCGAAGTATTCGCATACTGAAAATCATAAAAATTTATCAATCGTACAATCTACCACCATGTGCCACAATCGTGGCGACATACGATACGAGGGAAAAGAATGCAAATTTCTCGTTTACTCCTTGGTAGTTGAATTATTATAGTCATGGAAGACACCTATGCTAGTAGAAAATATTACCATGTTATCAATAAAGAATATGAAAAGACACTTACTTTCACAATGTATGGATAGATTATCATCGAGCCGTTTACGACAGACGTTGCAGAATTTTCTTCTATGATGTACCTGTTCGGACCAGCAGTGTGCAACTGGATTCTGTGTGAAACAGAACAAAACCTCTTTTATTTCTCATTTTTTTTCCCCTCTTTTCCACACAGAAACGTATTATATTCGATGAAAAAGAAACTACACGAAACTTTGTTTCTTCTTTTTGGAAAGTAATTATCGTGGAAAAAAAAAATTAAAAGAAAAAAATAACCGAGTGATTTTAGAACGCAAATAGTGGTAAACGACGATCGACCTCGACTGTTTTTATTCGAACTACTATTTTTTTCACGGAAGAAAAGAAGGAGGAAGAGGGAGTTGGGGACACGCATTAAAAATAAAGTCCGTCTAAAATATCATAGCCGTGTCGCTAATGCAGAAACTGTGATGTTCACGAAGTTCATCCTCCGTCGCGAACGAGAGAAGTTTGGACGCAGCCATGATATCGTGCAACCATGAGTATTCTCAGCGGCGTGTAAATATAGGTCGCGGAGGGAAGAATTCACTTGGTCTCTGGTCACACGAAAGAGAGGAAGAACGGAAACCGAGGGTATTCTTACCTTAATGAGGCTTGCCGCGATGCTGGAGCAGGGAGAGACGACGGCCTTGAGACAGCGGTCGTGCACCACGAAGTTGCAAACTGTAACGAAAAGAAAAACAAGGGAGAAATTGAGAGATTTGTAATTTAATAGTGTGCAGGTTAAATTAAGAACGAGCCACGATTTTCTTGTTTTCTTTTTTATTTTTTCTTTTATCTGGGATAAAGAAAAGAGGGAGAACTCTTCTCTTGAAAAAAAATTCTTCTTTCTTAATGGATCGATAAAATGTTTTAAATGTCCAACATTAGACAAATATTTCGTTTCACTTTTTTTTTGAATTTAACCTATTGTTGTTAATTATAGGGAGGTATTTATCAAATTGCCAGGGGACGGTACAATGTTAAAATAGGAGAAGATTGTAAAACGAAACTGTGACATTTTGGTGATATTTTGGAAATCGAAAATACGCACAATGGATAGACAAAATAAACGTCACCAATTTACAGTGGCTAATGTAAAACAAATAATTAAAGTTTACTAGAATTTAAATCATTGGGTGACTGCCAATGCATTTGATACATTTTGAACAAATACCATTCAATAACTTCTACATATGCCTGTATTGTTTCAAATATAGTTTTATTACGTACTGTTGGAAACAAGATATTTCTAGCTGTTATGTAAAAGTGCAAAGAATAATTTATAATTTCTCATCAATTAAAAATCTAATTGTACAGGATAAAATATTTTCAATTTGATTTATAGAAATTATTATCGTAGAATACGATTATCGTTTTTAATTTCACGTGAAATAATCAGAAAATCAAAATTTCAACGAGATGGATTTAACCTATTGGTGAAATCTAAGTCTGGCTCATCGCCCACACGATGAGGTTGATATCCATTACATAATCTGGCGGAGACAAATTTTCGAGCATTGGAAATAAAACATTGATAATAATAGATATAATCGGTTGATTAATTAATTTATCCTAGTAATAGATCCTGGTGCGATAATTTAAAATCCAAATCCATCCAAATTTATCCAGAGAAGATAAAAAAAATATTCAATTTTTACAGAGATATTAGAAATAGAAAAATGGAAAGAGCGAATATTTATTTCGAAGATTATTCGAAGATTAAGCGAGAAGAGATTGAACAAAGAAAATCATTGAACAAAATTTATACAGCGTTCATTAATTTAGCTGCAGCGTAAAGAACATCTCATTTTGAACCCTTGAATCAGAGCGTGAAATTCTGCAACACTTTTAAACCTAAACGGGGACTAAGCGGGTAAATATATTAAGCAGTTAAATGTCGATGAACAAAATTTCCAGGGCGTCGCATAAAAGCAATGGTTAATTATTACTCGATTAATTTTCTAACTAATTTTTGCGTCAAGCTAGAAATATTTAATAAAAAATACGAGTATTAATTTTAAAATCGGATGTATTATTATGCAAATAAAAAATGAGGAAAAAATTCCAATAAATATGGGAAATAATAAATATTGATCAATGATTAATAAATCACGTATGCGATATAATTATTGATTTAATTCCATATTTCTTCTTTTCTTTTCCTAATTAACATTTTGGACGAGGAAAAAATTGGTTCGATTAATTTATTTTCAACACCTCTACGACGAATGAATATTTTATAAATCAAAAATTTCATTGATCAAAATCTTGGACGTTATATTAAATTTATCGTCGGTTTTACTTTACTGTTATTTCTGACGCGATATCGATTTATTGACTCTTAACATGTTATTTACGAACCCTTTGGTTTCCACTAATATTAATAGCAGATATGAGTATGCAAAACCTTTTAGAACATGTATCGGACCGCATCGATATTCCATTAAACGTACTATTACACGAAGCTGATCGGGAAATGTAATTTTATAATAAGGACACGTTGCTTCGGTAAAATACTGTGCTTCCATTATCGTTCAAGTTTGCAAATTGTCGAAGAATCATGGAGGGGAAAGTTTCATATAATTATGCTAAGGATAGCTAGATACATGCATGATTAATTAAAATAAGGTTTAGAATCAGGAAAGAAATTTCTTTATTCAATCGTACATTTTATTTTTGTTTTAATTAAAGTTTTGCAACAAAAGTGAGAAAAAGAAAATGAAAGATCGTACAAGTTGTTCAAGTTTCAATAATTTTAGTCGAATAATTGTCTATCCTGTATTTCAACACTCAAACAACATTCAATTGCAGCGTGTCTAGTATCAATTCTTATTTCAATTCGTTGCAACGTTTCCACTCAATTGTGAGGTTTACGATCTGTTTGTTGCCTTCTCTCGACAATAACGAGCCCTCAAATGCATTCGGAAAGTATGTCCAAACGCGTGCACTTTTCATAACGCAACGCTTGTTCAAAACACAGAGAGCGAAAATATAAGGACAAGAAATATCGATCAATACTTCTTTTTCATTTATACCCTGTATTCATCACAAAGTAATAATTATAATATATTATTACATATTTAAAGAACTTTATTTTAAATAAATCTATACGACTTAAGGTAACAATTAATTTCAAAAGAAAAAAAAAAAAAAAGAAAAAACTTAACATATCTTACGATATGTTATATATCTTACGATATCATTTTACGAAAAAAATCCTCCTTTTCCTGGAAATTTGCAAAGCTTAACCTTGACGTGAATTCGAGTTATTTTTAAGTGATCATCTTAATGTAAAGAACATTATCGCATCAAACGTGGCTCGAAAAAGCTCGTTGCAAACGAATCTAACGTTGGAGAGAAAAAATAATATCATGGAATATTAATCTTATCGATTTTTTTTAAGTAACCAATATTTGTCGCGTACAGGTAAAAAAGCGACGTAACGTGTAACAAGGTCCCAATGGTATACGCTATATTTCCGGTTTGCTAAAAATAAAGCCAGCCT